CCATCTGTGATCTTAAGTGACTTAGCCTCTCTTCTCAATGGGGGATGTGTTGCTAGTGGTGATGACCTAGCAGAAAGTATCACTGGTTAATCAGCTTAGTGGGTTTTTTGTTGGTTTTTTTTTTTTTTTTAGGGCTGAAATGTAACTAAACATCATAAGCCACCCTTGTTTCAGTAGGCACTTTACTGTCTGTCTTACTGCACTATACCTCAATTCCCAGCCCTTTGATTAAGTTGAAAGCTGGTCTTTTAAAGAGAGTTGAGTAATACTTGCATGTCACCACTTCATTGCTGGTGAAACTACCCATCACTCTTCTTAAATATAGAAAAGTCCTGTGCATGGACACTGGAATTTGCTGAGGCTTGAAGGTCTGTTACCACAGCTACTGTCTAACAGGTTTTCTTGTAAAGAACAACTTGCTTGGCCTGGCCATCAGCATGGTCTGACACGATCTGTGGGGTGTTTCTGGACCAAGCAAAAAGGTCCTTCTGATTCTCCAGGGCTTCCGTACTTGTTCATCGCTGTTCTGCTTAACTTTTGGTAGAAGTTTGCTGTTAGTGAGGCTGCAGGGAAGGTTGCAGGTTGCTTATGGGTATGCATCATGAACCCTGTGTTAGGCTGCCTCTGGCTGGACTCTTTCCAGGCCCCTAAGATCATGCTTTTCAGGCTGTGTCAGAGCCCTGAACCTTCAGTTCACATTCAGGTGTTTTTTTTGACAGGATGATACCTGTTCTGGTCACTGTCTTTGATACATGCCATGTACAACTGGCTGAAGAGCTCCCGACTGCGGTTTGAGGGACACATCAACATTAATAATTAGTAACAACTGAGGCAAAATCTTACTGGTATTAGGAAAAAGTTTAAAACACACACAAAAGAGGTTTCTGTGGAATACACAGGTGTCTTAAACTTAGCATCGTTCCCTCAATGCCTAAGGTGCCCTTTAGATAATGCTTCCTGGAGTCTGTATTTGTAACTGTCCTCCTTGTTTGCAAGCAGATAACACGACTGGCTTTTCTGCATTTTCAGCTTGGCAAAGCTATAGGATTTCCAGGATCGTGTTTGAGAGGTCAGTTCTTTGTAGCTGCAAGCCTGACTAGTATATTTTAATGTTGTCTGTCAGGTCATGTTTGTTAATTCTAGGCCAGATTTTTCCATTCTTGCCGATTTTTTTCAAAAGAACGTTTTTACTACTTTTTTTTTTTTTCAGTTTTCAGCATGTAGAAATAATAGTGTCTAGATTGTTTTTCTTGCTGTTGAGCTCGTGTAATAGTTCTAAATTCAGATTTTAGAAGTTACTTGGAGGTACTCCTACCAAAGTTGTTCGTCTTTTACTTGTGTAATCAATTTTACCAGGTTTACAGAAAAAAATACATATCGTATTCATATCTCTTGTGGGGAGATACAGTCAAATACAGCAGCAGTTAACAGTTAAAATATTCTGCATTCGAGTATTTCCATCTGCCGTGGTTGTGATATACTTTGTACACATGTTCTATCAGTCTGTTAAAGGTGATGTCAAATGGCCTTGGGAATTGGTTGTGTTCTGGTGTCTTCCTAATGCGAAGGACAATTTGCGCAGACTCCAAGGTAGTCATTTGTGATTCAGCTATCGACAGACAGATGAAGCATGTATTGCAGGCACTGTTTTATTTGTCATAGTTGTTAAAATGTTGAATTCCTCTCAGTTTTAACACTGTGAAGTGAAAATCATCAGAGATGAGAGCTTCTAAGTTAGCGTACCAGTCTTACAGGAAAGCACCTTCCAGAATATGAAGTCCCATTTGGGCTCTCCTTGGCCTTTCTTTGCTTAGAGGCAGGAAGATTATAAATCCTGCTCTATATATTTCTATTTATACCTAGTATACTTAAAAAAAAAATCACTGCATTATCAGCTACATCCTGTCTCCCTTGCTCTCCCTGCTCTCTTCCTCATTTATATCATCGATAAAAGAAAACACATGTAATCCTCTGGCTTTGCTGCCACCGTAGTCATGGCCTGGCAGATGCTTTTTGAGTAGAGGGTAGATTTATAGTACTAGCAGTTGCTAACTCCTCTGAAGTCAGACTTATATGATCTTCCCAATGACCTCCTGTTTTGTTGACAGTTAGCAGGTTTTCCCCTTTGCTTGATGTTTTAAATTTGTCCAGTTTTCTTCTAATCTCATCGTTGGTCCCTATTGTCCTTTTGTGGTGGCAATAACTTTCTTTCAGATTTATTGCTGTGGTTTTTATCTATTTTATTTTTTCTGTTCACGTTTAGAGCAGTGGTGGTTATGCCAAGCCAACATCATCTTTTCTGTGTTAGAAATGTTGCCTTCTCCAAGTATTGTGCAAAGGAAATTTGATATGAGGGGGAGAAAGAAAAGGAAAAGCACAGAATGTTTTGTTTTGAAGCAATTAGTCTCAGAGAGTGATGTCTTCTTTGAAACCAACAAAACCCCCCAACCTTTTTCTCTGGAGAAAACCTTAGGGCCAAGTTTTGGTCTGGACAACACTACCGATTTTACTGAAATGGACACAGATGTGAATGAAGAGCAGCTTAGCTTAGGAGAGAAGGGGCTGGTGTGAATCAGAATTGTGTCTGCTGAAGTCATTGGAATATACAGATGTAGGGAATCTAAAATTAGATCAAAGACAGCTTTGGATGAGTTTCATGCACTGCATATGCGAATTTGAATACAAATGCCAAGGGGATGGTTAGATATACCCTTTTTTTGCCATAGAGAATAATACAAATAGCCAAACATAACCTTGGGGATGATATTACAGCCCAGATTTGTGACTTCAGCTTCCCACAGTTTATAATGGCTTTTTCTCCAAAAGGGTATCCTGAAGTCCATTTTACTCTGAAATGCATACGATAGTCATAATCAAGTTAACTCTTCAAATACCTGAAGAACAAGATGATAAAAAATGAGCAAGTACACCTGGTACAGTTTGCAATAATGAATGTTTTCACAGGTGTTTAAGATGTATACATCATATACTTTACTTTCCAATTTCTGTGGAACAACCTACACAGAGAAAGGCTGTTTTCAGAGAATTTGCAGGAAATGTGGTTTATGTTAACCACAATGCAAAAGCAGTTAAGGGTGTGTTGCAGGAACCTGCTTTTCACCTGGCTTATTTGCACGTTTCCTTAAAAATTACAGACCTGCTCCATGAAGTCTTTAGTTAGTCTAGCAAAATTCTCCAGTACATGAAGGTTTTGGTCTAGATGATGATTATTTTTTTTTTTTAAGATCAGCTCAGATCTTTTTTAGGTAATTTATTATGTTTTACTGTATACTGAAGAATTGTGGGAATTACAAAATTAAGATAACGATGGAAAAACATAAAGATGATAAACATGTGTAAGGAGAATCTTGCACAGAAAAGCTCCTTAGTGGCTCCTCTATGGTCCAGTTTGATTATGTGCAGCTAGGCACTGTGTTCTTGGCCTGTGTCAGTAGGAAGATTTGTCTTACATCATACTGAAATGTATTTTATCTCATGATTTGCTCATATCTGAAATTGAAACTACTGGAGAAATGCTTTTCCCTGTGTACACAGCTATGACCTGGTTTTGGTGAGTTAGAGGATTCCTGCTACTACAAGTTGAGATGTTTCTGTCTATGACACTGCATTTTCTAGAAACCTCATGGGTGGGTGCTCCAATACTAAGACCTAGCCTTTACCCCTGCTGAAATCTCTGGACCTGCAAAGAGCTGCCCTAAAGAGAGAGCTTGGGATGTACCCAGAACAACACTGATTTCTAGTCCATTGTATTATGTCTGCAGTTTTTCCAGAGTGCCTGGCAGGCTTCAGCAATATATGGAGACCTGATTGTCCCCTACATATTGTGAGTAGGAATTCGGTAACCAGAGATTTTCTTAAGTTCGTAGCTTCAACGTATAAGCGGAGCTGTTCCTCCTTACTTAACCTTGGATCCCACGTTATCTCTCAAAAGACCATTAAGATTATTGCCTATTATTTCTTAATTCATAGACTTAGCATTTTTATTGCCTATTGATATTCAGTCTTTGTTTGCAATTTAATTCAGCAAAAAATGTTTACTTTGCCTAAAATATTTTTTTTTTACAACTTAAGCAATACAGAATGAGGGACCGCAGTAAAGTAGTAGAATGAGAGTGAAAGAAATATAATAAAGGTGCCTCTAGAGCATCAAAATTTCAATGAGGCAAGGCAATGTGCAGTGCCATAATACTAACTTTTACATTTAATTGATTTATTTAAATGTTGTTTTTCCATACAGTTCTTTTGTAAATTTAATGGAATAAAAGAGGAATTACACCTTATGTAAGTTTCTAAATTAAGGAAGAACTTTAAAGAAGAAAATCTTTATATAAGTGGTTTTCCATACGTATCTAACTATTTATTTGAGGTCAGTGAGCTTGCAACTTTTATAACATCATGTGTTACAGTAGCTGCTAACCAATACTTCTAATAAAAATACAGATGGCTTGGTTGCCATCTGCACTTCTTTTGAGATTCAGCAATGAATATGTGATTAACCTTCTGTCACCACTTTTCAAAATAAGTTTTTTCTCTACCACAGACTTTCCTTGTACCCCCTCTTCTTCTCCTCACCTCTTCCCCTGCTTGGAAACCTGCTAAAAAACCTGAAGTTTTTATAAACATCTTACTTGTCTTCATGCTTTAAGCTTTTGTGGAGGATAAAGGAAAGTACCTTGGAATTTAATGTTTCTGTACCTTTCACATTACAAAAAGCAGACTCCCAGAATGGCTGGGCTTGAAAGACTGGAACAGATAATTAATTCACAAGTGGGTGTTGAAGTGGAAACTGTCAGGCCACAGCTTTCCCAGCTTTCACTTAATCATTTGAAAGTCGTTTTCTGTTGTTTTCACTGACTGTAATCCCTTAGAGAGAATATAAAACTTGCACCATCCAGCATGGAATTCCACTCCTTTAACGACTCGGGTTCTGCGTTGACTCACTTTCACTCACTTTCACTCACTGTTGTCATTTCATACAGGAAAAGCCGTACCAATGTTCAGAGTGTAACAAGGCTTTCAGTCAAAAGCGAGGCCTAGATGAGCACATGAGAACCCACACCGGAGAGAAGCCGTTTCAGTGTGATGTGAGTTGATCTATCCCTTTGTCTTCTTGACTCCAGTGCGGCAGCAGGACTTAATTGCAGTGAGACTATGGCCTTGCACCTCTTGGCTGTGGCATTACACTTCATATGGTCTTTGATTGCCTAACTAATGAAAGACCATTCAGGGAATCTTATGTACCGTCTTCAGCTGCCAAGAGTGTTGCACACCCTTTTATTTTATGGTTTTGGATCCCTTAAGAGTTATTTTCACCATTATTAATGCAATTTGGATGTTGCAAGTTATAAATTCGTGCTGGTTGGGTTCCCATATAAATGGTGTGACAGGTTGATAGTTGGGGATTAGCTTATACAGGAGAAGATATTTAATTCGTTATATGGAATCTGAATGCATCTGATGTTGTTGAACGACACAAATGTGAATTCAGAATTTCCAATTTCTGTTTAGTGAAGTCTGGTCTGATATTTTCAGTGTCTGCTCGTTGTGGTTTTTTATTGTTCAATGAAGAAATCACTGATGCTCCAGATGCTTGCAGTGCTGAAATGCACCATATCATATTACAGTTCATAGATCACTGTCAAGTACCTTTCATTTGGCATACCCCATCCTGTGTACAGCATACCTTGCAGCTTTTGGAAGGTAGATGGGGAGGCTGAATGTGAAGAAACTATTGGAAAAGAGTGTCTTTCAGAATTACCAAATGCCAGAATTTAAGTTGTTGCTTGAGGATTTAGAGAAGGGCATCAGAATAGGGTATAGAATTAGTATAGATGCTTTGGTTTGTGATACTAGCTCTTAATGAGGTAATCACAAGGAACCAACAGCTTTTAGTTACATCCTAGATGGCTCAGTCTGAACAGTTGAACATTTGTTTACAAATTCATAAAATCAGATGCAAAATTAGAATAACCACTTGGAATGAAAGTCACAAGGGTCTGTTAATTGATATGGCTTTTAATAAATAATCTGGTGATATTTCATTGAGAATACATGTATCAATTTAATAAAAAAATCCAGCTACAATATTTTGCTGGTGTCTACAATCAGGAGATTTGCTATAATATTTTGGGATAATCTCAGCCTGGCCCTAGATAGTACCTTGAGGATTGCTATTATTCTAAATCATTGTCAATAACTTTTTCAGCTTGCAGATTTCTATCCTGTTTATCAGCTGCTGGCTAGCTTGCAATTGCAAAAACGCAGTTTTTCCCACAGTGTGGATCCAAGATTCACTGGTCTTGGATTCACACTGTGCTTTTTCAGACCAGATTGGGGTGGTGGTTATGTTTATTCTTTTTTCTTTCTTCAATTGAAAATAGGAGCTATATGAAAACATGCTTTCCTGCTTCAACTATTCCTTCCATTTTCCTCATTAATTAGAGCTGTATTTTCCCAAATCATAGTATTCCTAGAAGCCACTGTAATCTGTATTCAGTCTTAGTCCTTCTCTGAGAATTTTTATGTGCTCTCATTTACCTGAGTTGGTTGGGGTTTTTTGTTTGGTTGGTTTTTTGTTTGTTTGTTTGTTTGTTTTTTTAATACTTTAAATTACTGCCATGTTTCACCAAAATTATTCTCCAGCCCTAGTCTTACGCCAGCTACACATTGCAGAGATTGCTGATTTTTCAGGGTTTGGACATAAACAGCAGCTGACTATTATTCATTCATACATTCTTCAGTTGCCCAGTTGCCTACCATAGACTGCTGCTTAATGCAGACTTGGAGAGTTGTGAAAGTTTTGTTTTCAATAGTTACTCCTTATTTCATCTGGGCTCCACTTCTGTTGGTGCTGGAGACATAGTAAATGTCACCCAGAGCAAACTATTCCTGCAGAGCTGTCTCGCACAATGCATGTTACCAGAGGTTTCAGCAGAAGTTACAGGAAAACCAGTAGTGGACAGTTACAGAAGAAGTACCGATGGGAGACATTTATTGTTGGCTCCCCGGTATTAAAAATTGCTTTTTCCACTCAAATATTCTCACCTGCAGTTTTTTATCCTGCTAGAGATAGCTGTAGATGTTCTCATTCTTCTTCTTATAATGACTCGAGTGGTAATTTATGGCAACAACTTCTGCAAATTCTTAACTGTGGAAGGAGGCTTTGGGGAGGGGACAGTGTGTCACATTACTGTGATGGAATTTCAATAACTGTCTTTCAGTTCTTTCATTAACAGAAAGGGTTAATAACTGTTCCATTCATTGCTCTTTCTACATGTGCCATATTCCTCCTTAGTCAACTTCTCTGAAGTTGTTTGTCTTTCCAACACTTTGGATGACTACTTCCCATGTTCATAATATTTTTTGTTACTATTTTCTGTTTGTTTTTTTTTTTTTCCACATTTCCATTGCATGTTTTAAGGGGTGAAGGCTTACTATTGGCATACCCTTCCTCATTAAAGTAATTGGAAAAGTCTGGAAGGCCAATGCCCAGACCTACTAAGAATTCTTTAAAGGTGAAAACCAGGCTGTGTTTTCAAAGTTTAGCATGTTCATAAATGTAATCGTATGTGAAGTCTCACTGAAAGACAAAGGTCTTAAGAGACTTGAGGGGTTTGGTCTTGTTTCCTACCTGGCGTTAGAAACAGTCATAGAAAATATTCAGCTCTTTCTTCTAAACAACATATTAACATTTGCTGTCAGGATTTTCTATCTTTCTTAGTACCATTAGCATTTACAAACAGGAATTGCCTTCAGTGCCAAAGAACTGAAGAAAACTTTTGCTATCGAAAAATAATGTGTTTTTTATGGGCTCAAGAATAGGCTTCACTTAACAACACACCTCTTCCCCACCCAATAGAAACTATTACATACCAATTTTTTGAGACTGCATTTTTGCATTAAATAGAATTTTCTTCCAGAATCAGAAATGAAAGCCATCTCTTCTCTTCCTTTCTCACTCTCCTCTCTCAGGCATGTGGAACACAGGTTACAGTACAGGATTTTGCTACATGTAAAAGTAATCTTTGTACCCTGTTTGATGAAGGTGCTACAATTTATTTATGTGGCCATTTCTGTGTCTTAGCAGTGAACAGAAGCATTTTCAGAACTTACTGTCAGTGATTCAAAGCTTTCACATCCCACTGATAGCAGTGAAAATTGAATATTCCCATTTTAAGGTGAAAATTCTAATATATATCACATAGGAAAGTGAAAATAACAGAAACACAGAAATACAAAATGTGGTTTTTTTCCTAGTAGATTAGACTTCTGTCCTCTTAAGGCCAGCCCATTTTTTTACTGAAAGGCCAATTGAGCTTCAATTGCCTCAGAGACAACAGGTTCTTCTTTGAGGGCAGAAAGGTCAAGTACTGCCTGTCCTGGTTTCTTTCCAGTACAGTAATTCCCTCCACTCTGCCTTTAGTTGACCTTACACTTACTTTCAAATGTCAGTCTTTACCATCCTCCCTACTCAATCAAAACTTTGATCATTTTGAAGAGATTGATTAGAGTTCAAGTGCACATTGGCAGCGTAGTTCTGTATCTATAAAATGTCAGTCTTGCTTATAAAATTGAAATATGAAGCAAACTCTTAAAACACCCCCCCCCCCAAAAAAAACCCAACCAACCAAAAAAACTAAACAAAAACCTCCAAAACTTTTGTGCATAAGCACAGCACGAGATGTATCATCTTTAATCATCCTGTGCATTCCATGCTCTTTCTGAAGAAGTTAGGTAGTAGAACATGCTAGAGCCTTGAAGGAACAGCAGGATGCATTATACTAGTTGCATGAGCATTATAAATGAAAAAATGTGCTTTAAGACTGTGTTATAAGCTGTTTACTTTAAAAATGAAGAGGTGCGTGTAAGATACACAGAAGATATATGTATCTTGTAGCTGTGTATATCCTTGATTGGCTTCCTGGCTTCCAAGCAATGTGTGTTTACAAATATATGATACTTTATGTTTAAAAATATGTTTGTGTTTACAAATATGATACTTTTAACATATCAAGACTTACGAGCAAGCATGATGATTATGATCAGATAAATGATATGGATTCACTTTGTGTGTCTGGTGGAAGAGGAATAGAAAAATGGAATTTGGCAAAAGCAGTATTAAGACCTGACCAGTGGCCGCTGTACGTGATGTTCACTGTCGCTTAACAAAAGGGTGGCTGTTGCTTGGGTCTGAAAGAGGTAATTATACATTGAGGGGAAAAAAGTTGGAGAGTTACAGTTGCTGTATAAAAGTCCTCAGTATTACGTCATGTCATAAATTCAAAAATGTTCCATTGCAACAACACATAGAGTGCTCGACTGGGGAAAAATTATTTTGGGTACAAAACTTGCCTCTGGCAATTGCCCTTTTTATATTCGTTGTATGGTTTTGCATTAATTGGCATAAAATACATATACTGCAGGTTAAGGTTATTTACTTGGATAGTCAGCTCTACTTGTCTGTCTTGGTTTCAAAAGGAATCAGTGATCATTCAGCTCTTTCATTTCTAGTTTGATACCAATACAAATTAAAAACTTCATTTTCCTAAAGATGGTTTGTGCTGAGTTGCTTGAGTTTCCTCTGCACGGAAGATATTTTTGTCTGGAATGAACCTGGAATTCTAAGATTGCAAGCCTATGGATGTTCATTCTTACTTAATTATATGACTCTTGCCTATTTAATTTGTCAAGTCAGGAGCATGCTTTCTAAATTATTTTTTTTTCTGGGAGATTCATGCGTGCAATATGTACCTGGATGGAAGGTAAATGTGACAATATAACTGCACAATTTCAATTGCCTTGATATCTTGTCTACAGATTCTTAACTTTTCATTCTAATTTCTCTTGGCTGAACTTGTTCTTAACCTTTCATTTTGGCTTCAGTACAGGAATTTTTATAAGAAGTGATGGTTTTAGCATGGCAGAGTCCCTCATCCCTCTATCCATTTATTCAAATGGCAGAATGAACTGGACTGCTTGGAGTACAGTGGAAGAAGGGAAGCAGCACACCAGATAATATAGCAGAGGAATTGAACCTGCATTTGCAAGATGTTTTCTGTTTTCTTGGCCAGGCAGAGGAAGACTGGAACAATGAGGTTTCCTCTGTAATAATTATTAACCTTTCTTGCAGTGTTCATAGCCTCTTTTTTCCTCCCTCCGTGTAACCGAGCAGTTTGAACCCACAGATGTCATTCTGGAGGTCAGGAAGGAAATACCTCATTTGAGGTTGAGTTGACAGAAGCTTGTGATGTTTTGTCATAATTTTTGGTGCATCCCAGACAGAATAATAGGTTTTAAAAAACCCCCAGATTGTAACTGTGACACCCCAGTGTGTTCATATTTTGAAAATTGAGTATTTTTTTTTCCCTTTTTTCTTTTTTTTTTTTTCCTCTGTGGCTGTAGTACCACTGTTAATGTACAACACTGAAAGATACCAGACAGAGTAATTATCTTTAAGGTGCTTTCTGAAGGAGTTATTCTTCCAAAGACCAGCTCATTTATTAAGTATTGCAGGTATGTGCGGCTGTGGCCTCAGTGATGTAACACAAGGAGCTTTATATGTGCTTGAAGTTTAAGACTTCTTTTGTCTTCACTGCCTTTAGGTTTGTGATCTGTCCTTCAGCCTGAAGAAAATGCTGATCCGACACAAGCTGACTCACAACCCCAATCGACCGATGGCGGAATGCCAGCTTTGCCACAAGAAGTTTACAAGAAATGACTACCTCAAAGTGCACATGGAAAATGTCCATGGTGAAACTGACAGCTAATTACGGTGACGTGTGTGAGAAGAATGGATCTCACGTTCCAAAGTGCTCCATTTGTACGTGTACAAACTCCAGACTTCTCACCTGACTAGTAAGCATAGTCAGAAGGAACAACTGTAATGTGTTCACGTTATTATTCCCAATTTTTTTTAATGTACTAATAAGATAAAAACCAAAGAAATACATTCGCCTGAAGTAAAACATTACTTGAACATAAAATGTTGAAGATAAAAGAACTTTGGGAACTTTTTAAACCAAAAAAAAAAAAAAAGGACAAAAAAAAAAGCTTTACGCAAACTTTGTCTTCTCAACTACAGCCTTAGAAACTTAGATATTGGTGGCGTTACCTGGAAATCTTGGACATTTGGAACTGAACCCTTGGCTGTCTGCAACTATATTTCTGTATCTAAGCTTCAACACTCCATTAAAATTCTTAATTTGAAACCGCACAGAATTTGTCATTCTGGTTGACTGCTGGTTGCATTCAGGCATATTTTATTCAGATCTTAATTCTGCATTTTGTTGTAACATGATTTTGTCTCATTTTATTTACAGCATTCTCATTACTAGATGAAACTCTTTAACTTGAATTTGGTTCTTGAGATGCCAGAATGTATGGGTCCAGAAATTGGGGAAATCTGTCACGTTAAGTGTTTCGTATAGAGAAGGATGTATTTCTTCTGATTATAAGAAACAAGACTGAAGTGAAAACTGAACAATTTAGTTTCAGTACTGTATTCATACTCATCATTGTGACAGGCAAGGCAGCTTAACAGAGTGGCTTGAGCAGCTACAGTTGCCTAGTTAACATGTATTTGATTTCCTGGTGAACAGCTGTTTCCCAGAATGTTTCTTCCTGCCAAATCAGATGCCCTGGATTTCTTCATGCTACTTAACTACCTTTGTTTTCTTAATTCTGTTAATGAGCACTGGGAAAAATACTGCTTTACAACTAAGCAACAATCCAATTCTTAATGTTATCAGATTGAGTTGTTTGTGGTAGTAAAACTCTCACAGGCCCTCTTCTACCACAGTTAGATAACCAAGAAATTTTTATCTACAAGAACAGTAAAACTGTAACTTCAGAGGGTGATTACATGTGAAATTCCTGAGTTATCAGCAGTAATTAGTCATTAGTAAACTGTTCATACTCATTTTGGACCTGTCAATGTTTTGTAAATTGAACTTCCATTGGGACATCTTGCTTCTAGTTTTCATGGGAAAGGAATTCAGCTTCTTTTATGAACTGCAGCAGGAACAATTATGCTGAAATGAACAGCATAATTCTTTATCTCAAGGTAGACTCTCTACTCAAATCTGTTTATCACATGGTAGATTTTCTACTCAGAGTAGCAAAAAAAATAGCAATAGTAGTATTGCTAGCGGTGGAAATAGCTAGCAACAGATGTTGGTATGTTTCATGATTAACACTTCCTTCCTTCTCTACTAATAGCTTGGTTCTTCTGCATGGACATCTGTACGTTACATGTTCAGTTTTGAGACCCAGCACTGGATCCCAATAGTAATCTTTTCCAAAGACTTTACTTTTCTGCAGAAAATAAGCAGAAGACACTTTGTGTTTTTCTCAAAAGCTGAAGAAGGCATGCCACTTACAGAGGTAATTATAATTACAGGGGCTATATCAGAAGGTCTTCCTTTTCAAGGAGGCCTCCTGTTTTGTTATGAGTCTGTTTGTCTTCAATCTCCTTTCTTTCCTTTTGGAAGCCTATAACGCTATAAGTTTATGGGTGTCCTTCCCACTTACAAGGAAGATGTACACTCAAGTTTACAGGTTTCCTTTTTCAATGAAACCGGGGCACTTACTGCTAACAATTCTAACAAAGTTGATCAGGGACAAGCAGGAACTGTCACTGTTTTCGTTGCAGAAATCACCAGATTTAGGATTTTAGGATACTGCTTGAAAGTCCCCTTGCTTTTCCCTTCTTGATTTGAATATCAAGAATTCTAATTAGTGGATATTAGTAGGAGAGACTAATGATTATTTTGAGAAGGTAAGTCTCAAATGGAATAAATGACCAAATATAAAATAAAATCTGTATTGCCAATGCTGCTAAGACACCCCTGTAAAGTCCCAGTAACTATTAATGATTAAAAACAAGAGTAGTGTATTATAGTCCAAGATGTCTGCTAGACAGGATTTATTATGGTACCCATTGTGTATAATCTTTGAGTCGTGACCAAAGAAGGTATGAGCCAAGAGCCTATGAGCCAAGGACATGTTCCTTGACCATACGTGGTCAGTTTGGGGAGTAGTCAAGACCTCCGACTCATGGTCCACTTACCCAAATTATACCACCTAGTCAAAAGAGAACAATAGAAGGCTACGACAGAGACTGTGCGCAAATTTGCATTGAAAGTGAAGAAAGAAGAACCAATCATCAAGAGAATGATAATGAATATGCATTGTATAGACTGAATATGTATGAAGTTAATATCTAAATATTTGTTGACTGCAGTGTGCAGGCGGACATCTTTGGGAAGGATCCCATGTCCCCGGTGCACACGGTGCGCATTGTTAATAAAGGACGTCTCTACTTCTCTAACTTTGTGTAGAGAAGTTTTTCTTACCACTGCAGATTTGTAACATTTTCAGTGTTATAGAAAATTTCAAAGTGATGTCTTCCCATTTATTTAAAAGGTCCTTGGCTCAAGATACATATGACTAATTAGGCTTGAATGAGCCATCTGCAAGGACACTTGAAGGCAAAGGGGTAACCTTCAGCTGTATCTGCAGATTTGAAATTGGAATCCAGTGTCCCCTAGGCTGATCTGAATTAAAAAAAGAATAAAGTGTAGTAAAACAACAGGCATATGGTCCAGACTGTAATGTGGTTGTATAAAATAGACCTCAGCAGTTGCACTGATGTAAATTCATATGAAGAGGGTCCTGGAGAAGGCCTGCATATAGAGAACCTATTCTGTAATGTATCGGTTCAGTGTGGAACAAGTGACGTAGGTGTTACACTGGTGTGTGACAGAAAAGCGTATCGCTACGTGTATGTGTTATCTAATTTTGTGTTATGTTGTTACCTCTATGGTGTAATGTAATAACCTTTATGCTCTTTTTAATTTTATTTAAAAATAGAAATTATCTTCCTATAATTTTAGTAGGTTTTTTCACTATTAGTTTTGAAGGCAAACTTCATGGTTGATGTTTCGTGAATTATAATTATTCAGTAACTGAATATTTTATTGCCTTTAGTTTGCCTGTTGGAATGCATATACTTAATTGTTTTTAAATTGTTTAGGATTCCCACAGATTTTGAAGCAGTGTAATTATGAATATTTCACTTGTTTGTGACAACGACTTATGTGTAAAAGTGTACTAGGTCATCTTCGTGCCCTTTTTGTTTCTGGAGAGGTATGTAAAGCTTGGAGTCTTTGCCATTTCTATACAAATAATTTGTTCATGTAAATCAAATGTGTTGTACTTGTGTAAGGCAAATATAGTAGAAATAAGTAAAGAATACTGCCTCTCCTTATTTGGAGAGCTTTTGTTGGAGAGTTTATCAGACTACTATATTTCTAGGTTCAGAGAACTTTAACTTATATTAATTTTTATAATAACTATAGAAATAATGTAAGTGTTCAGGCAGCAAAATCTGTCAGTACAATATATTGAGACATCTGATGGTGTTTCAACTAAATATTCTTAATTATCTGCAAGGAGAATTAGGTAGGTGGCTTTTTTTGATGTGTCTGGGGTAGGACAACATTGCAAAAGTGACTTTTGTTTGTTTGTTCGCCTTTTTTGACATAAAAAAAATCAAGAATTTAGTCATAGAAAAATTGAGATTACAATTTTTTTTATGTTTTTCTTCCATTATATTTTTCCTTCTTCCATTTGGTCAATACAAACTAAGGCACAGACAACAGCAGAAGAAAAAAAAAACAACACACCCAAAACAGACGAAGTTCAGAAGTGAAGATCTTCCAAGTGATTTTTGAGGGACAATGCTATTAAAACACAAAGAAGAAAATCTTTTTCGGGAAAATAAAAAGGATAATTTAATGTATTTTGCATAGGGTTTTTGCCAGAGATCTTTGCTGCAAAGTTGTGTTACGTGTTTAAGATTAATAACTGTATTTGAGAAAAATAGCTGTTTGCTGGAAGTCAGTACATGAAGAGGAGAGTGTACTTTTTCTGGTTTTAATCGTTGCTGGATAAATTATAACATACATACTAAGATTAATCATGCTGTATGTAACCAATAGCAGTAGTTAACTAACTGAATCTTTGATCTTGAAAATGGCTTTGATAGAGCAAGGGATGGACAGCATCAATGTGTGAGTGAAAGACCTTCATCAACACCACAAGAAGTGGGTGCAGGAGGTTGAAGCCCAGCTCCAGATGATGACTCTTCGATCGTGTTCTCCAGGAACTTTCCTTTTGGGCTAAAGCGGCTGCAGATCTGCCTGAGCTCCTACCGAGCTGGCAGCTGCAGGTGTTTCCATGAAAGGAGCTGCCCTGTTCTTTCCATGAGGTGCTTGAAATTCTCACCGTGGGAGGTAATATGAATCAGAGTACTGAACTCATGGTGGTGAACTGTATAATTGAGTTTATACACAGTGCAGACTTACCATTGTGCAATATGTTTCTGTTTGGTCATAGCTTTCTTGAAAAAAACAATCCAAACAAATCTAAAAACAAAGAAAAAAAGCAAACCAACAAACCCTTCTCCTCTGAGTAAAAACTTCAATTCCAAGTCTCCCTCTTGGTATTACCTTTGGAAAAGACAGAGAATATTCCCTTCAGCCGATTTTTCAGAAATGAGAAATCAAAACCTGTTGTTTTAAAGGTAATTGTTAATTTGTGTGTGTTTGTTTTGCTTAACTGTCTATTATGACAGACTGACAAAATTCATCATTAGTTGAAATACTGACTTTTTTATGCAAAGTTGTGCCATGCAGAATAACATGAAAAGCTAGAGATATTCTTGAAATAACATGTGGTCACTGAAATTTTAAAGACACTGTTTTTTTTTCTTCACCCTAAATTGTATAATTTTCTGCAGCTCATAACGTTCAATTTGTTCTCTTTATTTTTCCATTACAGTTAACCGCTCTGGGAGAGAACTCCATCTCTGACATTAAGAACAGCAGCAAACTCACTTGCTCCTTTTGTTTTCCATTCTGACAGGTACAGCCAAAAGCTGATACAAATCATTAATAAGATTAGCAAGTGCAAAGGGTATTTACAATTC